AGCCATTGCAAACTCATGCCAATAAAAGGACATTCTTTGTACGGGTCTGAACAGCATGTAACACAATGGAATCCCAATCCTGATTGGGCCTTCAGCTGCTACCTCCACATAAACATTAAATTAGAATTAATATATTCACAGTAGATAACCACATATTCTATCTTACCCTAATTTGCATGGGCACACACACTGCACACTAGGTCAGAACCCCAGAGGGGGAACATCTGCATTTGACCAACAGTATTTAATAAAAGCAATATAAAATTAAAGACATAGGAGGAGAGTTTCAAAGGTCCACATTAGGGCTGTCAAGCGATTAAAAAAATTAATTGCGATTAATCGTGCTGTTAAACAGCAATAGAATATCATTTATTTAAAAAAATACAAAAAAAACATGAGGAGTCTTTGTGGCACTTTAGAGCCTAACAAATTTATTTGGGCATAGGCTTTTGTGGGCTAAACCCCCCTTCATCAGATGCATGGAGTGGAACATACAGTAAGGAGGTATAAATACACAGCATATGCAAAGATGGGAGTTGCCTTATCAGGTCGGGAGTCCACTTCATGCATCTGATGAAGTGGGTTTTAGCCCATGAAAGCTTATGCCCAAATAAATTTGTTAGGCTCTAAAGTGCCACAAGCAGGAGCGGCGCCAGGGTTTTTGGCGCCCTAGACAGGGGTCCTTCTGTGCTCCCAGTCGTCGTCGGCAATTCTGCAGCGGGGGGGTCCTTCCGTGCTCCCGGTCTTCAGGGCACTTCGGCGGCAGGTCCCGGAGCAAGTGAAGGACCCCCCGCTGCCGAATTGCCACCGAGGGCGGCAAAATGCCGCCCCCACAAATCCTGGTGCCCTAGGCGACCACCTAGGTTGCCTAAATGGAAGCGCCGGCCCTGGCCACAAGGACTCCTCGTTGTTTTTGCTGATACAGACTAACAGGGCTACCACTCTGAAACCTGTCATTTATTTTAAATATTTTTGGATGTTTACTACATTTTCAAATATATTAAATTCAATTACAACACAGAATACAAAGTGTACAGTGCTCACTTTATATTTATTTTTTATTTCAAATATTTGCAGTGTAAAAAAACAAAAAAATATTTTTCAATTCACCTCATACAAGTATGGTAGTGCAATTTCTTTATCATGAAAGTTGAACTGACAAATGTAGAATTATGTACAAAAAAACCTGCGTTCAAAAATAAAACAATGTAAAACTTTAGAGCCTACAAGTCCACTCAGTCCTACTTCTTGATCAGCCAATCACTCAGACAAACAAGGTTGTTTACAATTTGCAGGAGATAATCCTGCCTGCTTCTGTTTATAATGTCACCTGAAAGTGAGAACAGGCATTCTCATGGCACTATTGTAGCTGGTGTTGAAAGATATTTACGTGCCAGATGCGCTAAAGATTCATATGTCCCTTCATGCTTCAACCACCATTCCAGAGGACATGCTTCCATGCTGATGACAGGTTCTGCTCAATAACGATCCAAAGCAGAGCGGACCGACGCATGTTCATTTTCATCATCTGAGTCAGATGCCACCAGCAGAACGTTGATTTTATTTTTTTGGTGGTTCGAGTTCTGTAGTTTTCGCATCAGAGTGTTGCTCTTCTAAGACTTCTGAAAGCATGCTCCACGCCTCATCCTTCTCAGATTTTGGAAGGCACTTCAGATTCTTAAACCTTGGGTCGAGTGCTGTAGCTATTTTTAGAAATCTCACATCAGTACCTTCTTTGCGTTTTGTCAAATCTGCTGTGAAAGTGTTCTTAAAACAAACATGTGCTGGGTCATCATCCGAGACTGCTATAACATGAAATATATGCAGAATGCGGGTAAAAACAGAGCAGGAGACATACAATTCTCCCCACCCCCAAGGAGTACAGTCATAAATTTAATTAACAAATTATTTTTTTAACGAGCATCATCAGCCTGGAAGCATGTCTTCTGGAATGGTGGCCAAAGCATGAAGGGGCATACGAATGTTTAGCATATCTGGCATGTAAATACCTTGCAATGCCAGCTACAAAAGTGCCATGCAAGCAACTGTTCTCACTTTCAGGTGACATTGTAAATAAAAAGCAGGCAGCACTCTCTCTCGGCAATGTAAACAAACTTGTTTGTTTAGTGATTGGCAGAATAAGAAGTAGGACTGAGTGGACTTGTAGGCTCTAAAGTTTTACACTGTTTTGTTTTTGAGTGGAGTTATGTAACCAACAAAAATCTGCATTTGTAAGTTACACTTTCATGATAAAGAGATTGCACTTCAATACTTGTATGAGATTAATTGAAAAATACTATTTCTTTTGTTTATCATTTTTACAGTTCATATATTTGTAATCAAAAATAATAATATAAAGTGAGCACTGTGCACTGTGTATTCTGTGTTGTAATTGAAATCAATATTGAAAATGTAGAAAAACATCCAAAAATATTTAATACATTTCAATTGGTATTCTACTGTTAAAAATGTGATTAACCACCATTAATTTTTTTGAGTTAATCATGTGCGTTAACGGCGATTACTTGACTGCCCTAGTCCAAATGCTAACTAGGTACCTAACTCCTTCAGTGGGAATTAAGCACATAAATGCAATTTGCACCTTTGAAAATCTCCTCCGGTCATTAATATTATATTATTTTTATTAAATGCGGTTGGCCAAATTCCCAGTTGTAAGTATCGATTATATCCATTAAAGAAGCGCTTAGAAGCTGCAGAGATCTAGGTCCCATTGTGCTACGTGCTGTCTGTACACATAGTAGGAGACAGTCTCTATTCCAAAGAGCTCACAATCTAAGAGAGACAAAAAGTGGGACACAGAGGCTCAGCGAGGTGAAGGGCCAGATTTTCTAAGATATTAGGTGCCTAAAAACCTTTGAAAATCTGATAGCAGATCAATACCAGAGTTGGGAATAGACTCCCAGGTCAGTGCTCTATCCACTGGATCATGCTGACTCTGGTAGTTTGATTTGTACTGCTTTGAAGTGGCAGTTATAATTATTATTTACTATTATGGCTCTTATTATTTCACTTGTGTTGAGAGGCCCCAATCAGAATTGGGGCCTTGTTGTACTAAGCATGTTCAGACACATATGAAGACACAGTCCCTGCCACAGAGAATTTTTTTCTTTGTAATGCTGTGAGGTCCCATATCAAATACTGGCATCGCTTTCAAATATAAGAGACATTCTATTTCCATGTAATTCTTGCTGCTGGCTCTTACCAATGTAATGGGTCCCTCTACAAATCAGATCAGACTAACACAGCCTTAGTCAATATCCACTTTTAAAATCTCACATTGCAGTGCCATTTAAAACTATAATGTTAGCTATATGACATGCACAGCAGAATTCAATTAGATTGTATGTCTACAATTTAAAAATTTCAACTTTCCTCTTTTTTCACTACCAAAGGCATTTTTAATCTGCCTTTCTCTTTTAGTTCTAACATTTTGGTGGAAATGATTCATCATCAACATTGGATCATTTCTGAATATTCAGAAATGTTTCCCAGGCATCCTAATACTCCAATCTTGCAATCATCAGCATATATGTAGTTTGCTGCGGCCATATAGAACCGTATTGAACTCAAGAGGGTGTTTTAGCAGCTGCAACAGTCTGTCTGCACGCAATCAATTGCAGGATTGGGGCCTAATTTTCTAAATTCAAAGTCTTTGTGTCTTCTGTTGAAACAGTCGCTTTTCATTAAAACAAATATTACACCTCTGCTCAAGAATAATTCACATGGTCTCAAACAACAACAAAAAAATCCCACTACACTTGTGTAAAAATGTGGAAAAATAATGTCACTGAAATAAATTTTCTTTTGAACTATTTGTCAATATTCTAATCTGTGATTCAGCAATAATTTCTGCATCACGAATTTGTTACTATTAAATATGTTTTGACGGAAAATTGCTAACACAGCCTTAGTCATATTGGGCAATATTTTCAGCCAGTGTAGATGGGCATAGCTCCATTGACATCAATCTATCGATTTGCACCAGTCTGGCCTATGGTGCTCTAGAATGTATTAAAAAAACCCTGGAAAAATGTACATTTATCAACAGGCTTATTTTGATACTATAGGCCTGATAAAAGAATGAATTATGCATAATATACAGCACTGTATATGGTGCTTTTTCATGAAACAGCAAGGTTTTGGTGCTCTGTTCTCTTTATCTGGTAATGTTGGTCTGCATCTCTATCCCCAGTCAGGGCACAGGAGATTATTTTTTAAAAATTCACCATTAAAATAGTTCTACTATTTGGCTATTTGATTATTTCACAGAGGTACAGTTAATAGAGTTGCCATGGGCTAGAAATAGGGGAAGAGCATGTTTGCTAAGAGAGATTCTTAAGTTTGATGGTACAATTTTTAGCCAAGTGTGCTACACAGCTGTAAACAATGCAATGAACATTTTGTTGGTGGGGTGTGTGCGTGTGTGACTAACCTCTGAACTGGAATGAATAAGGCTACAAGATTTGCCTTAATTCAAGGGACTGCAGTAACCCAGTTTATACATATCCAGCCAAGTAATCCACCTCAGTGCACATACAACAGTAAATTGATACATAAAATAAACTGTAAATCCTTAGGGGGAGGGAAGAATTTCCCCTTCTCCTCTTTCTATTGTTATAATCCCTTTAGGAAAAAAAAATCAAACTTGGGTAAAGGTTAATAATAATTCATGTCCAGCTTACTATTACTCAATAACTATCAAAGTCTCTAACTCAAAATAGTGTTTGCTGGCTTACAGGATCAGAGCCATTACACTCTCTATTGAAGACTTTATTGAATTTTACACTAAGCTTTAGCTGACTGAACAGGTCAAGCACTCTGGCTCACAGTTTTCTTTATTCGCAGAAACTCATAAACCCTTCTCCAGTTTGCAACGCTGTTAGCTAAGAAACTTGACTCAGCACAGGGTCAGAGAACCTGACCCCCATGAAAAAGGTCACATAGTTTTAAAACCCAGTTCCTGAATACCATTAACTTACATGCACTAGCTGTTCCTGCGTGTCAAACTCTCGTGAACAGCCTTCCCAATGGCAGTTCGTCTCATAGACCACTTCGGGCTCCTGCTTGCTTTCATCTTTGTCCCCTTCCTCCTTTACAAGGGTCATTCCTTCTGGCTGTTCCTGGGGAAAAAAATAACAAAAAACAATCTAGGTGTGAGGAGAGGCAAGAAGAAACTCTGATAAAGAGGGGGAAGAAAGATGAATTACTTCAACATTAAAGGAAAGGTACAGTAAGAAAAGCCCAATTTAGATTCATTTACTCTTGCTTCAGCTCATTACCCACATTCAGATAAAACACAAAAGCCCCGAGTGGGCCTTGTAAACCAGACAGTGGAGATGGGCTATTTCTCTAAGAGCTGGCTGCCTTTTTTAACAATATATTTTCCAGAAGTATCCAGTGCAGATCATTTCTGCAGGAACCTCCTCACATGGTGCCTTGTTACACGAACTGATAGAAGAGGAAAAGAGAAAAGGCAGATCCTGTCCCAAATTATTCCAACCTGCTGGCGTTCGGTATCAATGAGAGGTGGAAGAGGGTGAGGGGAAGGGTCAAAACTTCTTAAAAAAAATAACTGGGAGTCACAATGAAATAAATTAAAATAAAATCATAAAGGGCCTGCTTCTAATACTTGGATTAATTATATGGGTCATCCCAATTGTTTCAATGGGATTATTACGGAATGAGATATTATTCAGTATGAGTAAGGGGATCAGAATTGGGATCAAATACTATGGCTGTGCTTGCAAGCAAGATCATTAACAATCTAAAATGTACTTCAATTCTGAATTCCGTAATAGGCTCGGAATGCGAAACTTCTTCCAAAATTAGACTGATAATTTTCAGGATACTTGATGGAGTCATTTGTTTTTTTCCCCACAATGTGTGTATGTGTGTGGTTGTTTTTTAATGGATAGCTTCAGTTCCTAGCAGAGCCCCATTCTCCCCAGCTTGCTATTTGCTCAGGCTAAGAGTCAGATGTCAGGAGTCTTTCTAAACATTTGTTTCAGATTATGAAGACATGCTATTTTCCACTTCAAACCCCCATGTAGGATTTAGATGGGCTTTGGTTTTGGTTTTATGGATTCAGTGAAAAGACTGAGGACCTGATTCTGATCTCACCTACCTTAGTGTAAATCAGAAGCAACTCCACTGAAATCAGTGAGTTATGCTGGTGAAGAATCATATGCTGAAGCCCTGAATCTGCAAAGCGCTTAAGCACATGCAAAGTCCAGTTAAAGCCAATGAGATTTAAGCATGTGCATAACTTTAAGTGTGTGCTTAAATACTCTGCTGAAGCAGGGCTTAAGTGCCTCAGGTTCACCTTTTATCACCAAATACACCACAGCAAACAGAGGATTGAAAACTCCTCTAAAGACATACACAGATGCAAGACTCACCCCACCCCGTCCCCCAGCAAAAAATATAAAACAAACCAGGTCATAATTGTTTACATTTGATTCTGCAATCATCCCTTGGTACTATGGACTGACGCAGTGTGTGTGTGAATCCATGTATGCTAGGCCAAGGGCCACAAAGGGGTGGAAAGCCTTAAAACATGCTACAGATAAGATGTGCCTTCTGTCTGGCAGTGAGATGAAAGTCTGATTAATGAAATCTGCATGCTGTACCTGCATGTTTCCTGCACCTGGACTGGGAAGGTCCTCATCTGGTTTTATCTTGGAACGCTTGTTGTGCATTGGATCCCCGGTGCTGCTCACTGCAGATTCACTTGTGGGTTTATTCTGCTGCAAGTGTTGTTCCCCAAAAAGACAAAATTAGACTGTGATAAATACACAGAGCTCCAAACAGAAATATGCAACATCCACTAAGCAACTTTATTTGGAGATGCTCCATTGTTAATTATATTGGCTATACCATTATAATATATTCAATTACATAGCATTAACTTGCAGAATAGCTGCATCATTCAAACTTGTAATGGAGCGGGGGGGGGGGAATATAAGTGAATACACTCTGTGTAATTCATTATTATAAAACATTGTTGCTTTTGTCAGGAAGGGGAAGGGTAATAAGGAGTCAATATTCCACACAATTAGGACTTCAAAAGGTGATTACCATTTTGAAATGTGAGATCACTGTGCATTAGCTGCAATCAACATGAGAAGAATGAAAGTTTACTAACAAGAAGGGCTTTATATTTTATTTTACATTTGTAGATAGAATCTCAACATTTTTCTGAGAATTATAATGGTGGAATAAAGAGAAGATCTGAGAGCTAATACAAAACCATAGGCCAAAAAATCTTGGGAGAAACTCCTGGCTCCACTGTAGTCAATAGCAAAACTTCCACTGATATTTGTGGGGCCAGGATTTCACCTCTTGTATCTCAGGCTGTTGTCAGGGCCGGCTTTAGGGAAAATGGCCCCTGGCCCCCACTGCATCCCTCCCATTGCCACAAGCTCCCTTCCGCAGCCTCATATCCCAGGCCTTCCCTGCCCCTTGACCACGGCACCTCCCTGACCACGGTGCCCTGGGAAGTTGCTCATGTTGCCCACCCGTAAGGCTGTTCTGAATACTAGGACCTGCAAGTGGATCTGCTGGGTGCATCTCTGAACCTGCCTGGAGCCCCATTAAAATCAACGGGGGCGCTGCAAGGATTTGTCCAGATAGATCCACTTGCAGGATTTAGCTTCAAGTTTTGCAGCACCCAGAACAATAAGGAACCAATCCTAGGCCATGCTAAAAACAAATCATGATTAATAACAATAAACCATAATGAATCCAAAACATCAGCCTGATTCACTACTACACTACTCCAGTTATGTGTCAGTTCAACTACAATGATGGATCCAGGTCCAGTGAATCAAACTCTGCATTAATCAGCAAAAACCTTAAGTAATCAGTGGAGTTTCTCTGGATTTACACTGTGCAGCAGAGTAGACTGTCCCCCTACATCTGTACAGTCATTATATTTAGCCTGATTTGGGAATGAGCACTTCCTATCTTTAAAATGCTGTGGCTCCTACCTGCTTTCCCTCCTCCCCCATTCCCCACCTGGATTAAGTTGTCTGATTCAGGCGAGACAGTTGGGAACGAGGAGTCACTGAAACATTTATGAGGGACAGAAAGCATTCTACCAATCAGAAATCACAGATACACTCCTCTGATTTCTAATAAAGGATTGCAAATGCCATCACCGCCAGAAAGTTGTTATCCAAGGTTCTCAGTGACTGTAGTGATTAATTGCTAACATGACAATGTGATTTGTTTTATTTTTTACATTAACACGGTTCAAAGGTTTCTTTTGTTTGCTCTCACCTGCGTGGACTCGGAAGGACCAGAGCTGACTTGGACAGGGTTCAGGACACTAGGGATGCCTGGGATAGGTCTCTGGGTAGGAAAAGTTGGGGCAGGATGGATGAGTGGAGGGCTGTGTCCAAAGGCCGAACCTAGGGTTTGCTGACGACTTATAATTTGCTGATGCATTTGCTGGAGGGATACTGGTGTGGGAGGGTAAGTGAAACTCAGAGCAGGACTGAAACAAAAAAAGAGATGAGGACCATTGTTGTGTTGAGTTGTACAGGTAGTTTACATTTCCCGCTATTAAAGTAGCATAGGCAAAAAGCTATCTCTTTCCCTCTCTTTCTGTTCTTCCTCCCACACCCCCAACAAATTATAAACATTGCTACTAAATCCAAAGCTGGGTTAAATTGATTACTGAGAGCAAAAACGATATTATAGCAAAATATAATGTTTCTACCTTTCCATTAAAAAGACTCTCATTTACCAACAATATACAGAAAGTGCCTGACATAAAATTCAGGAAATCTGAAATAAGAGGCAAGCAGTTCAATAACAGCTATTTATTACAATAACAAACTTTATATAAAGAAAAAGAATGGGCGATTACATGTTTTCTAGTACTTTTATTGATAAGTGGTGCTGTATGTTCTCGTGTATGAAGCAATTCCTTTAATCTTGGCTCATGCTATGCTCGTTCATATGTCTCCAGATCTTATTACAAGAGGAGAGAAAATCAATTGGTTAAATGTGTTTTGAACAACACGCTTGTCATATCACTCATTTGTTTGTAAAGATGGAAAGCTCAGTTCATCCAGAATGTCACCTAAAGAATTTCCATCAGTGCCGTTTGGTTACAGAAACTGATGGATTAACCTTTCCCCTCTGAAATTGGTGATCAATGTGTTTCAATGTAGAAATATTCCAATGGGAAAGCACGTCTCCCTCTTCTAGTTAAACAACACTAAATGTCTATTAAAGCCCATTATGCATGCTAATACCTGTCATCACTTCATTACCCCGCTGTATTTCCCAGACTACAGTGAGTTCTGAGGAAATTACACTGCAGTCTAAAGACCTCTCTACTAGTAGGTAGTGCCAAATCATTTTTTGGTGCCATGCTTCAGAAATGAATTGTTCGGCGCTAAATCCTCTGACAAGGCCATGGGATATTCTTGCAAGCATTTGCCAGTAGTTTACAATCACACTGGCCAAACAAAACAAAACACGACAAAAAAGCGTATTCACAAAAAATGTATTTTTAATTGTTTTTCTTTCTCTTAAAAAGAATCAATTAAAAGAGCCTGGCAAATTAAAAACATTTGGGCACGTGCGTGTGTAAAAAAAAATAACTTGCAAGAATCAAGGTTTCTTGTAATGTCAAAGGTGGATTTAATGCAAATTTAAAATCTGTAGTCTTAATTACTGTTACTGTTAAGCACATTAACTGAAAACATTGAGATAAAAATAATTCAAATCATTTCAACCATTTTCAGTAATAATTCTACAGATGGTCTGTGTTCATTAATCTGACTATACATTTTGTCTGTTTGACTACAATCCATAAAGAGACGGCTTCAATGTGATTACATTACTATTATTCCTGGTGAGAACTCCGCATTACAATAGTTTCCCCATTTAGGACAGAATATCATTAAGAATACCCTGGGAGAATTTTACCAGTCTTTGAGGAACTCTCTTTTCATTTTGCATTGTATTCTTTTAATAAAGGGAGGCAGGAACGTAGTGAAAACAGTAATTGTTCACAGCAAGAGTTACGGAGAAATCAGTAATAATATTCAGTTATTGCAGCCCTATAGTCCCTGCCAGTGGTCCTGTAAGCAACCATGAATGATTACAGCACGACTTAGCTAAGGTAGCCACTATGGATGATTGATAGGACATTAATCAAAAGATGCATATCAGGCTCAGAATTTGTTCACAAGATTTCTTCTAATAGCTGATTTCATGTTCACTGAGCTCTATGCCAGTTTGTTCAATTTATTCTTCAGTGTACAAGCCATTCATCAAAGAACATGATGATTTAACACCCCTTTTCCCTTTTAGTGAACACACATTACTAAGTGTAACTACACTGTTCTGTTCATTAAAAATAACATACAATTACAATGTCACACACCAGTCTGAAACAGCAGTTGTGTATCCCTACTATGCATTTATGTTTCTATAGATACTACAAATTAATCAGGTGGAGGTCCAAAGTCACACCTAGCCCAAAAACTAGGTGGTACAGTACCAAGGATGCTACCCAGTTCTTCTGGGTCAACAAATGCAATACTCAAATAATTTGAATTAAGTGCTTGGTATTTTATTGCTTGTGTGTTCTGGGAATAAATAATAATAATATTTACTTAATATGTACGGACACAAATGGCTTGATCCTCTTCTCACCTGCACCAGTTTAAATAAAAATTAACTTCAATGGGAGCTGCAGGTGCTCAGCACACTTGGAAATCCAGCCACTTAGGTGTTTAAATATAAATTTAGGAACCTAACTTTAGGCACCCAGGTTTGAAAACTTCGGTCACTATACGTTAGGTTCTACATGCTAAAAAAAAGTATTCTTAGTTTTAATCCACAAGATATTAATGGCTGAAATCTGTTCTCAAAAACTTATATGTTGCTGCCTTTGGCCAGGTCTACACTAACCCCCTAATTCGAACTAAGGTACGGAACTTCAGCTACGT